ATTTCTGGGGCAGCTACCTAAACAACTAGAGATTCGGTTTGTGGACAATGCAGCTTTAGTGGGGTTTATGAAAGAAACCCTTTCAATTTTCAGCACCGCAATGCCAATTTTGTGCCCTGTATTGTGATGGTGAACAGATCGCTGGAAAACCTCTTCAGCCTGATTATGAGCACAGTCTTTTTGTGAGTGAAGGCATGCAGATGGTGCAAGTGTCAGGCAAAGGTATGAAAGACAGACTGCGGTTAATCAGTCAGGAAGAGTTTAGCCATACTTTGTACTGCTTCGACTTGAGCCCTGATCGGGGTGCTGTGAGTACTATTCTTTGATCAGGAATGGTCACCTCAGAGCAGAAATCAGATTTGCGCAACCCCTTTCCAATACCATCAACGTGATTCTCTAGGCATTCTTTGAAAACCTTACTGAAATAAGTCACACCAGGAATTTGCTTTTTGATTCTATGTGAGAATGGACACCCTGCAGCTCCTCCGTTTGTTCTCTGGAAATACTGGCTTTCTAGGGGTCCACCCCTGTGACCTGCTACCCAAGAGACAAATCTCCAAAAGACCTTTTGGATTAATTGTAAACACCCATCCTCAAACTCTGCCTGGTGAACACTGGCTGGCCCTCTACTTCCCATCACTTGGATATGGTGAATTTTTTTATTCTTATGGAAGACCACCAGATAGCTCCAACTTTTCTGGAACCATAGCGATGTTTTTAGAGCAGGAAGCTGAGGAGTACACATTTCACCAGCTTCAACTGCCAACACTCCTACGCAGTGACTTGCAGACAGCACTGTGTGTTTTTTCTCCTGAATTGGTCTAAAGGTGTGGATTATGAAAATATTTTAAAGCTGTACTCTGAGGACAATATTAAAAATGACCAAATGGTAAAGCTGTTTGTAAAAACTATAAAATTGAGGAGGGGGCTTGAAGCATTCACCCATTTTCACTGTATGCAGGCATGTCTGCCTTACTATAAAATAAAGCCAAGGACTTAAACTTTTTGCTTGTTTCCCAGTGTTTTTTATTCATTTTACAATTTTACAATTACAAATTTTGCAAACTGTCTGCTTCTAGGATTTAGCGTCCAAGGTCTAGATGGGGTGCCAGTAAACAGAAGCATCCGAGTCCAAAAAGGGGCGGTCATAACAGAGTCAGGGCTAGTAACAGTTAGTCCATCTAAGGAGCCACAGACTCTTTCAGTTTTTCTAATTGGTCTTTAACAGATATAGACCCCAGCATGGATGTTGGAACATTCACCTCTGCCATAGCATTCACAAATTCACCCCATCCTTTAGGTTTCCACTTCTCAGTAAGTTTGGGGATTGTGAGGCCCCTTTCACCAAGTCTAAAATATTAGTACCAGGAATAGGTACCCCCTTGTGTAAAAAGGTACCACGATCATCCCAGGTTGAAATGTCCTGATGCTGTTTCATTTTGTTTTGCAGAAGTTCAGCATTTTTCCTGTAATGTGTGCTCATGCCCCTTAGGACCTCATGCATTGTTGTGTCCTGTGGAGATAGCAGTGATGGCTTTTCTGGCAATGTCAGAAGTGGCTGAGGCTCTTCAGGGGGTAAATGAGATTCAGTCTGTCCTTTTCAGACTCTTTTTGTCTGGTCAGTCTTAGAAACCTCTGAATCACAGAATTGTAGAGCTTAATCTTGTCCTCACATAAATCAGCTCTCTGAAGAATGGCACATATGTCATCATCCAGCCGGTTAGTAGCTGTAGTCCCCATAGAAGGCACCCTGCCCTGTAGTTGCTCCATCTGATGACATGGTGCCAGATACATTTTCTCAGCATGGTCTGTGATTTGTCCAGCTAATAGTCTCTCTTGTGACTGGCCCAAGGTCACCCAGTCAGCTTTGTGCCCAAGGCAGGACTGGGACTCACTGTCTCCTGGTTTCTAGCCTGATGTCTTAACCACTGCACCAAACTGGCTCTCTCTTTCCTGCTTATTTCTACATAAACAGCAATTATATTGCTTTGTAGATAATGCAAATCCTTTTATCTTACCAAGTTTAGAAATGCATCTGTGTTAACTAATGACAACGTGTGCAAAAATGTTGTGAAGTGTTTATCAGACACAGGTCTTATTTGAAGGCAACATTACTTGCAAGCATTGACATAATGTTCTTCACTTTCTGAAGTTGTTATTCAGCAGAGATACATTTTAAATCATGTATTGTTTAAATTGTTTATAAAATCTTTTTTTGTTGTTTTTTGTTATCACTGTAGATAGATATTTCTCAGGTAGTTTCTCTGATCCTCTTCATACGTCTTGAATGTTTAGGCAGTTGTTTCCAGCCACTTTAATGGACTTGAGATTGGCTGTCAAGGAATTAGTTACAGGTAGTCCCCGGTTTAATAACAAGTTCCATTCCCAAGGTCTGTCTTTTAAGTTGAATTTGTGTGCAACATTATTGTATAATATTGTATAAGTAGTATTGTGTGATGAACTCGTACCATTGTGTATTTAACTGAAATCATTGTGTATTTAACTTGAATTTTGCTACAGTGGTCTCCGTTCTTAACTATGGGTCACCTGTAATCCGGGTGTTGTTAACCCCGGGACTACCTGTATAATCTTTATCTGCTGTTTCTACATACTACTCTGAGTTACTATAATAAGGATGTTAAGACTACACAAAGTGAGATTTGGATATTGCTACACATATAACACAAATGTATGCATGTCTTACGTCATTTTCTGAGGTTAGAAGTTAGGCTGCAGCTCTCTAGAGACTTCTGGACGGCAACAGAAAAATGCTGAAGATGCAATTATTATTATTGGCATGTGAAATATTCTCCTTCTTCTCCAGCACTAATTAGTATAGCCTTCTGACTTTTGTACTCCATAATTGGCTTTGCATGTTTGCATTATGCAGACCCTTTTGATCAATGGAGATATAAAAATGTGAAGTGGTACAGAGGTTAAACGTGTGCCTATTGCCCTGCCTGAAATGAATGACTTTGAACTCCGTTGTGCATGCTATGATGTGGGTGTAATGGAGAATCAACATTATGAAGGATGTTTACCTTCTGATATATCCCACAAGGTAATGGGCAGAAAGGTGAAAGTGCATGTGTCTGTTCATTGGAGTGGGCTGTGGCAAGGCAGTAGTGTTTATTAGACTGCATTACTCTAGTTTGCTTTTTTCCCCTGTGTGCAAATGTGTTCTCACCTTCTGTCCCTCACTTAATTATAAAAGTCCTGTGATACTTTATTATAGACTTAAAAGGGGAAAAAATCCGGATCTCATTAAAATTACTAGAAGTAGATCATCTGAACTTACCCTAACACTGTAGCTAAATGACCAAGACATACAGTATCTAATACACCAATATTAGTTTGGGCAGCTGTGACATCTTGATTAGGTTAAACCTGGCTTATTTTCTTATTGTGGCATAACATTTGTTATTAGTCACTATTTTAAAGCAAGCTAAAGCAGCCATAGAAGAGATGGAAAGTTGAGAAATAAACAGATAAGAAGCTCAGAAGCTTTATCTTTCATGTGTAAATTTTACAGTCCTGTATGTTAACTAAGGTAAGTAAACATGATTGGGAAAGCTGCTGTGCGTACATTTTAGGGATCTTAGGATAGTTTTGTGCTGAAACTTGAACATCTGTTTAAATATTTTTGGCATTGTATATACAGTACACATTGCATTTTTTAGTACACACAATAATTTCCAGTAGCATAAGCACTAAAAATTAGCCTACAAGTAGAAACTTAATATTCTGAGTGCAAAATGTTCAGTTAGACCAGAATTCCCAGCAGGGCTTCAAATTCTCCCTGCCAGATTAGGGGAAAAGCTATAGATATACGTGAGAAAATATGATATTGGGAATCTCCTTTTTCCTACTCCTTTCTCCTCCATCCTCACCCTTTTTATCTGTTATTCTTCTCAACTTAAAAAAAAAACAAAACTTAGGTTGGTTATTCAAAAGGCGGTGTGCAGAGGGGTTGTCAAGAAGTATATTTGGAGGGGCTGTGGATTCAAAGCATCTCCTAACCATCCCCAAATTTACATGCAATCAGCAGAGTGGGAATAGAGTTATTATTACTTACTGCTTGCAGTGGTAGAGGACCCGAGTTGTTTGAAGGTAGAAAAGTAAGAGAGAGACCCTGTCTAGATTCTTCTTGATTGGCAGGAGCTGGGTAGGATTTCAGAAATCTTGGAAGTTCCAAAGACTGAGCACTTCAAGAAATAGATTGGGGATTGCTAATCTTATATAAGAACTGATATCAGCTAACTTTTCCAGGTGTCGGTTCCTTTTGGTATCATTTTGTTCAGTGATGAGTCCAATACCAGAACAATAGCTTTAACGTTTGGGAGAAAAATTAAATCTCTAATGCATTTAGGATTAATATTTTAGATATGCACAAATCAGTGTCTGCTACTTTTTGTTTTTTGTTGAGAAAAGGGACAAACTAAAGTGCTATTATTTGCTTTATCATGTTTCTTTTAACATTGCTTATGTAATGGTGATAATTCGTTAACAATTTTCATATGTGTATTTATTAAAAAAAAACATGATTTTTTTTAAAAAAGTATATGCCCATTCTCTTCTTCCACATATAGAACTTAATAGAACACAATAATAGAATATAGAACACATATAGAATTTAAGGCACCCATTTTAACTGGATGGCTCTGTTAGGGATTTGAAACCAAGGACTTAAGCCGTTTTTTAAAGTATCTTCTTAAAACCGTATTCCCATGAGAATTATGACTGTGATTAGAATTACATGGTTAAATTGATTCAGATCTGAGCTAAAGTTGGGTGAGAGGATAAGTCTAAAATGAAGGGGTAGGAACTGTGCAGTCCAATAACCTAATCCTGTGTCTGGTTAAGTAAATAATTATATCTTCAGAGTTATGTAGTTTTAGGTTCATTGGACATACAGAGAACTTACTAAGAAGTGAAACCTGGAGACAGAAGGAAATAATTTTCCAAAAATAAATTTATATCTTATTGCTTTTCTTATTAAGGGAGGCCTGAAAAACAGTAAACATGAGTGCACACTCTCGTCGCAGGAATATGTCCACGAACTACGATCAGGTATCTCAGAGGAAAAACTTCTCAACTGCTTAGAGTCTCTGAGGGTATCTCTGACAAGCAATCCAGTAAGGTAGGTTTTGGAAATTATTATTCAGAAACATTGCAAGTAGGAATTTGTAAAATACTATATGCCAAGTTGAAATGAAATCTAGAATTTACATGAACCGCATCAAAACACCATGTATTTAATGGGTGTATTTTTGCTTTCTGTTAGAATGTTATTCACTTAGATCTCTGCAAAGTAGTAGGTCTTTAAAAACAAAATAGTGACTTGTACAAAATGAATTGCTCCAAAATAGTAGATACTCGTGTGAGTTTATATGTTCATATATGAAACCACTTTCGTTGAAACTGTATTGGAAGGATAGATTCTTCTTTTTTTAGCGTCAGATTTGAAAGGACCGATCCTGTTATTTACCTCTGGTAAATGAGGCACAGGGCTGAACATTAAAGCTGTTGATGGGTAAGCTGTGAATACTTCTATATGCACAAACATATGGCCTGTTTGTTAATATTATGCCTTGTTGCATTCAGAACTTATCCTCAAGCTGTCTTTAACTTTGTAATTGGAATACATTAAACTGGGCTTGACAATTTGTATCACTTGGTATGTAAGGGATTTTGGCAAGTCTCCCTTCCAGAAATTCAACCCTATCTTAATAGGGAGTTGAAAAAGGGGGCAAAGGGAGCGATTCCTTTGCCTGTTAGAATTTTGTACACAATCATGAACTGGATCTGGACTAGACTAGTTACACTGTTGCAGCTAATTCAAGTCCCGTTTATTACTGTGTTGTATCTGGGCAACTAATTTATTGTGGATCCAACCTGTTGCATTTCCTGATTTAATATCAGAGGCAGGTGATGCTGAGACAGTCCCTGCACTCAGGCTTCCAAAAGGGACAACTTGAAAGGAATTGGAAGATGAGCAGAAGACAGCAAGCTCAGAATTAAGGAATTCCTTAATTAGACATGTGTTTAACTTGATCACTGAAGAGAAGCCCAACAATTTTGCTGTGTCAGTTGAGCGAGTGCCTCTTCCCTTCATAGCAGCCTGAATGATTGGTCGCTGAAAGGCTATTGGGAAATAAGCAAAACCTGATCAATCTGGATGATGTCGCTCCTCTGTTGCAGCTGGATGGTATAGTTTAATGGCCATTTCAGCTCTTCAGTATCTGTTCACCCAAGTGTGTTGAGTACTGGCTTTAGGATCTTATCTACTGGCAACAATAAGCAGCATATTCTGTCCCCTTTCATGGATTTGCTAATAGGAATCTCTTATATTTCAAGGGGTTCATGTAAAGGATAAAATTATTAGTGGATTTGATGTGGATCTGACCATTTTTGTCTCCGGAGGGATTCTTAACCCACTCATATTTATTACAGTACTATTTCACGGCTATACTAATATATGTAATACTTATTTCCATGTGACTTGTCAATATTCATCTTTTTTGGGATGGGGGTAGGGTACTAGAATAAGGAAGTAGTCTGTCTACATTGCATAACAATAATTTATACATACAAAATAGCACAGTTCTGTTTATACTTGTATGATCAAAGAGTTGCTGTAAAAATACAGATGCACGTTGTTATTCTGGGAATTCCTTCTTATTTCCAGCAAACAAAGGAATTATGGTACTCATGGATGTGAGCTTAAAATATGCAGGAAAAGAGACTAGCAAAGAGGCTCGGATCTAGAGAACAGTATTGTATATACCTATAAAATTCTTGTTCCAATTCTCATTTAGTAGTTTTCCTCTGGAAAAGTTCAGGAGGTCCTGCATGATAGATTTTTAAAAACATTTATTCAACTTTTTGGAGAAAATCTATAAACACACACAAATAGAAAACAGATAAAGAAAAGAATAAAGCACAATAAATAAACAAGGTCTCTAAAAAATGCCAAGGAGGTTATAGTTTTATGTAATATCGTTACTAAATTATGAATGATTGAATAAAATATATTGCTTTCAGGAACTAAAGTAACTGGCAGCATAATAGAATCTGATAGAATGTCTTCTGCCTGGTTTAACTGCTGGGAGTTGGGTGGCTTATAAATAATAATAAGAATAAGAATTCAAACAGACAAGTACCTGCCATATAACACACCAGACCTAGCAATTGTTGATAAGAAAGAAAAAAAAAGTCTGGATAGTGGACTTTGCAATACCTGGAGACAGCAGAATAGAAGAGAAGGAACTGGA